AGATTAAATTCTTATTCTAACATCTATGAAAAAAAATATTATAGTAAATCTATAGAAAGGAAAAGTCATTCAAAGAGACCTCATATATATCTATTCAAATAAGTGTATTGGTCTATTAAGTGTCATGTTTGTTTTGTAAAGAGACTTATTGATTTGATAAAGGCAGCAAGAGGAACTAAAAGAGAGGTGAACATGACCTTTTTTATGATCAAACTAGTATTTTCCTCAAATTATTCTCAATAGTCTTCACACACTAGGCTTATAGTGGTTTGGTCAAGCGAAATTACTTTCCTCATATTATTATCAATCCTTTATTTCCTTTGTTGGTTGAACTCCAATCTCCATATTCGACATTAAGGGCTGCCTAGTAGTTTTTAACATTAGTTACAAATCTCGCCATGTGTTGTCACATCAGTACCAAAATTGAAGCTTCATAAATTGTCAAATAATATTATAGCCTTCATCACAAATAGAAATATTTGATTTTTTATGTGGTGCTTATTACATTGTGAATTTATTTCAAATATATTTCCAATGTATACACATTTCTATACTTGTGTATAGAACTAAAAAACCCAAGTGCTACACACTTGCAATACTAGCTCAAATCAACAATGTTTAAAAGATCGTTGAAATGAAACAATCTAAAAGTAAATAAATTGTTTAATTTTGCACGATTTGATAGAGAACTTTTTATAGAACTCTCCTTCCTTGCTTGGAAGGGGAAAGATAATTAATAGACTAAGATTTAAGGATCTTAGGGGATTAGATATGGAACAATTTGGAGCTTAACATGGAACAAGTTAGTTAATCTCTTGTGTTTCAATTCAAAAAAGAGACTGAAAATTTTAATCCTACAGTTTACAATGGTTTATCAATCACCCATAATAAAAAAAGTTTAAAGTAACCAATATGCTTGAATACACCAATAAGAGTTTTACACCGATCAGTTCCATCAACATCAACACGAAGAAAGAGGGTTTTGTGGTGCGTTTTACTATGCTAAGTAGTCTAAAGAAATGGCACACAAATCGGTGAATCAATGTGGAGCTTATCATAGTTAAGCTCGCTTAATTCATGAGCCAAGAACCCCTACCTAAAGAGAGAGAAAGAGGCGGGCCGTTATGAAGATGACTAATAAGTCTTCACTATCATGAGTTAATAATTTGTAAATAATATAGTTTTAATTTTAACTCATGATAAATAAACTTATATTTATGTTAAAGTGTGAAAAGTGGTTTTCAGTTGATTAATGTGAATTATGGGTAATTATGTGATTTTATACGAATTTATATGATTTTTATAGTCTTACTTTTGAGATAAATGTAGAAGAAGAAATAAAAATAAAAATATTACAAAATGGGGGGACCCGTCGGCCAGCTGGACCCGCGAGTGGGTTGGAAGCGCAGTCGAGAAGTAGCCGCAAGTAGGGGCTTGAGTGGCTTGAACCGATGGAGGCACGTGTGCGCCACTCCCCTTCCACGTCACTAGTGGCCAACCGGCTGTGGGGCAAGGAGTGGTCGTACATGTGTTCTTGATCAGGAATGTAATATTACTTTATATTCGCAAGAAACTTCGGCGCACAACCGATGTAGGACTAAACTTGCGTCACCTTACCCAGAAAGGGCGGGCAACTGGCGCGGGTTCGAATCCTCCTAGAGCCAAAACTCATATTTTTTTATCTGATTATCGCGACTTTCGTACAAATCGCCGGTGAAGGATTAAGCAACCAGAATCGCTGGATCATCGGCAAAAATCTCATCAACACGATTCGTGGAGCATTGTTACTAAAATTGCTGAACGATTCACGATAAAAGGATCGCGAATCCATCGAGTAAAGCATCTTCGATTGATCAACAAATAAGCCGTCGTCGGGAAGAGGACGATCCACTGGGAGACGAGTCGCCACCTCTTGAGAGCATACTAGATGCGATAAAGAGCCTCCTCTTGCTGCGTGGACTTGAGGATGAAGCTCCTTGACACGCACCCCACCTCCATTCAGCTCCTCTCCATCGGGTGACAACCGTCGGAGAGCCACAAAGTCGCCGTTTTTCCGCTCTGCCGGGTGACAACCACTAGAGACGATTCGACGACCCATTTCATTGATCTCTAGACTTTGCAAGGAGATCTAGAGATTGCCCACATCGTCTTTGTCCAGGGAGAGCCTTTGAGGCCGTGGACACTGCACGACTATCCTCCCGAACGCTCAGGATTCCAGTGCATCGCCGAAGCATTGCCGTCGCGACGCCGGAACTCTGTTTTCCTGCTTTCAACTTACTTTACGTTTCATTTAGTGATAGTTTGTTTATTTTAAATTTACCTAGATATACTTCATTTCATTACGATTCTTCCGACTTTTACAGATCTTAATTTGATCAATTAAATTGTTTGTAATTACTTACGTAAGAATCACCAGGCGGAACTCTATTTTCGCACGATTCGCGTTCGCCGAGCGCTAACGTCATCTTGATGTCCGCACCCTTATTTCCTTTTTCCGTCAATTTTAAATATATTTCCTTTTCATTTCCTAATAGAAAATTCATAGAAAATAGTATTCTTTGCAGAAAATTCTGAGTAATTACCAGATATTATATTACATCCCTATGATCGAATTAGAAAATTATTTCTATTTTTGGAACTTTTATTGAATTATAATGATATATTTGTTCAGAAATACTTCTAAATGTCCAAAAATTCGTATTTTCTAGTTTTATAAATTTTATATTTGCGTGATTTAATATACAACGACTGAGTCATGTCAAATTTTGGCACCGTTGCTGAGAATGTATTGCATAATATTTAGTATTTTTCTATTTTTCTCTTAGAGTACACAAAAAAATTTAACTCTTGTTTTATTTTCTTTTTGCCGATTTTTTAAAAAAAAAGAGAAAAGAAAAAAAAAGGGAATGAACAGAAGCAAAGCAAGGACTGGAGCATACTAAAGGAGGGTAATAATTACTAAACTTTTTCCTCAAATTTATTTTTTTATGCATGGTAGAAGATCCTTGTGTCCAAGGCTAGAAAATCCTTTCATTATTTCAATCAAAACTAAAATCCGAAAGAAAAATTAATTTTGATGGATCCTGAAGGAAGTACAGGTCAAACTGAGAACAATCGTATGGCCATGAAAAATCATTATATCCCTTATTCATTTCAAAGAGCATCAAAATATTAGAGTCCCATTAGCACCAACTATTAAATTCGAAATAAATCCAGGAATTTTTCAAATGCTCTTTAATTTTCATAGATTGACTTTAGAGGAACCTCATCAGCACTTAGAAAAATTTCATATGGTCTGTGATTTAGTTAATCTCCCTCAAGTTACACCGGAAATTATTAAGATGAAATTATTTCCTCATACACTTAGGGACAAAGCTAGTCATTGGCTATCCATATTAGATAGAGAATTAACTAGCTGGAAGGACCAGAACAGGCCTTTCTTCGAAAATTTTATCCCTTAGGTAAAACTCAAAATATGAGAAAACATATATAGAGTTTTTCTCAAAGACCAAGAGAAACTTTACATGAGACATAGGAAACATTCAAAGATTTACTTAGAAAATGTCCTCATCATGCTATACCCAAGTGGTAGCTCAATAGAATTTTTTATGATAGATTATTAGAACAACATAGAAATATGGTTGATTCTATATGTGGAGGAGCTTTTATAGAGAAAACCCCTAATGAGATTTACAGTCTTTATGAGAATTTAAATGAAAATTCTAGAGATCAAGCCTCTTTTGAATTATATGACAAGGATAAGAAGAGAGGAATTTATGAATTGCATCATGATGATGATTCTAAATTTAGAAATGAGGTCAATCAGATTAATTAAAGATTAGAAAAACTTGATTTACTTATTGAGAATATTAGAAAGCTTCCTAACCTTCAATTGAATGCATATAGTGCTTGTCCTAGGTATGGTGAAAATGACCATTTCGAATTTCAATATCATCCTAAGCAAGAACAAGTGCAAGTACCCCACGATTTTAGTAAAAATAGGGAATATTTTTTTAATTCTTATAATCCTAATTGGGGGAATAATTTTTCATGGAGAAACCCAAATAATATTCAAAATCCAAAAGCACTTAGATCCAATTCAAACTCTGAATTTCGTCCAAAACAAGAAAACAGATTTCAGAAAAATCAGTCCTCTCAAACCCAACCTGATACTATAGATATGATGCAACAAATGAGCCAAATGATGCAACAAACTATGAATCAAATGATGTTGCACCAAAAACAAATTATAGAGGCTTTTGAGAATAGGAGAAAAGAGGGACAGTGATAAGTCTTCATTATCATGAGTTAATAATTAGTAAATAATATAGTTTTAGCCTTAACTCGTGATAAATAGACTTATAATTGTGTTAAAGTGTGAAAAGTGGTTTTCAGTTGATTAATGTGATTTTTTGGGTAATTATGTGATTTTATACAAATTTATCTGATTTTTACAGTCTTATTTTTGAGATAAATGAGGAAAAAGAAATAAAAATATTGCAAAATGGGGGGACTTGCCGGCCAGCCGGGCCCGCAAGCGAGTCGGAAGCGCAGTCGGGAGTAGCCACGAGCAGGGGCTCGAGCGGCTTAAGCTTGGACCGATAGGGGCACGTGTGCGCCACTCCCCTTCCACGTCACCGGTGGCCAGCCGGCTGTGGGGCAAGGAGTGGTCGTACACGCGAGAGAAGGGACTTTGCCTAAAAAGCTAACATTACTATATATTTGCCTGAAAAATTGGCGCACAACCGATGTGGGACTAAACCCGCGTCACACCTTCCTCAGAAGGGGCGGACAACCGGCGCGGGTTCGAATCCTCCCAGAGTCAAAATTCATATATTTTTATCTGATTATCGCGACTTTCTTGCAGATCGCCGGTGAAGGATTAAGCAACCAGAATCGCTGGATCATCGGCGAAAATCTCGTCAACGCGATTTGCGGAGCATTGCTACTAAAATTGCTGAACGATTCGCGATAAAAGGATCGCGAATCCATCGAGTAAATCATCTCCGATTGATCGACGAACAAGCCGTCGTCGGGAAGAGGACAATCCGTTGGGAGACGAGTCGCCACCTCCTGAGAGCATACTAGATGCGATGAAGAGCCTCCTCTTGCTGCGCGGACCTGAGGATGAAGCTCCCTGACACGCGCCCCACCTCCATCCAGCTCCTCTCCGTCGGGTGAGAGCCACCGGAGAGCCGCAAAGTCGTCGTTTTTCCGCTCCGCCGGGTGACAGCCGCCGGAGACGATTCGACGACCCACTTCATTGATCTCTAGACTTCGCGAGAAGATCTAGATATTGCCCACGTCGTCTTTGTCCAAGGAGAGCCTTCGAGGCCGTGGACACTGCACGACGATCCTCCCGAACGCTCAGGATTCCGGTGCATCGCCGACGCATCGCCGTCGCGACGCCAGAACTCTGTTTTCCTGCTTTCAACTTACTTTACGCTTCATTTAGTGATAGTTTTTCTGATTTTAATTTACCAAAATATACTTTGTTCTATTACGATTCTTCCAGCTTTTACAGATCTTAATTTGATTAATTAAATCATCTGAAATCGCTTACGTAAGAATCGCCAGGCGGAACTCTGTTTCCGCCCGATTCGCGTTCGCCAGGTGTTGACGTCATCCTGACGCCCGCACCCTTATTTCCCTTTTTCGTGAATTTTAAATATATTTCCTTTTTTTTCCCTAGTATAAAATTCATAGAAAATCGTATTCATTGAGAAAAATTCTGAATAATTACTAGATATTATATTACATCCCTGTGATCGACCTGGAAAATTACCGCTATTTTTGAAATTTTTATTGAATTATAATTGATATATTTATTTAGAAATACTTCTAAATATCTGAAAATTCGTATTTTCTAGTTTTATAAATTTTATATTTGCGTGATTTAATATACAACGACTGAGTCACGTCAAATTTTGGCGCCGTTGCTGGGGATGTATTGCATAATATTTAGTATTTTTCTATTTTTCTCTTAGAGTACACAAAAAAAAACTTAACTCTTGTTTTATTTTCTTTTTGCCAATTTTTATTAGAAAAAGGGAACGAAAAGAAGCACGGCAAGGACTGGAGCATCCTAAAGGAGGGTAACAGTTACTAACTTTTTCCCTCGAATTGATTGATTTTTATGCATGGTAGAAGATCTTTGCATCCAAGGCTAGAAAATCCTTTCAAAAATAAAAATCCGAAAGAAAAATTAATTTTGATGGATCCTGAAGGAAGTACAGGTCAAACTGAGAACAATCTTCTGGCCATGAAAAATCATTATATCCCTGATTCATTTCAAAGAGCATCTAATATTAGAGTCCCATTAGCACCCACTGTTAAATTCGAAATAAATGCAGGAATTTTTCAAATGCTCCCTAATTTTCATGGATTGCCTTTAAAGGAACCTCATCAGCACTTAGAAAAATTTCATATGGTCTGTGATTTAGTTAATCTCCCTCAAGTTACACCGGAAATTATTAAGATGAAATTATTCCCTCATACACTTAGGGACAAAGCTAGTCATTGGCTATCCACATTAGATAGAGAATTAACTAGCTAGAAAGATATAGAACAGGTCTTTCTTCGAAAATTTTATCCCTTAGGAAAAACTCAAAATATGAGAAAACATATATGGAGTTTTTCTCAAAGACCAGGAGAAACTTTGCATGAGACATGGGAAAAATTTAAAGATTTACTTAGAAAGTGTCCTCATCATGCTATACCCAAGTGGTAGCTCAATAGAATTTTTTATGATGGATTATTAGAACAACATAGAAATATGGTTGATTCTATATGTGGAGGAGCTTTTATGGAGAAAACTCCTGATGAGATTTACAATCTTTATGAGAATTTAAGTGAAAATTTGAGAGATCAAGCCTCTTTTGAATTATATGACAGGGATAAGAAGAGAGGAATTTATGAATTGCATCATGATGATGATTCTAAACTTAGAAATGAGGTTAATCAGATTAATCAAAAATTAGAAAAAATTGATTTACTTATTGACAATATTAGAAAGCCTTTTAACCCTCAACTTAATTCGAATAGTACATGTCCTATATATGGTGAAAATGATTATTCTGAATTTCAATGTTATAATTTAGATCAATCATTTCACCCTATGCAAGAACAAGTGCAAGTAGCTCACGGTTTTAATAGAAACAGGGAACCTTTTTCAAATTCTTATAATCCTAATTGGAGGAATAATTTTTCATGGAGAGACCCAAATAATATTCAAAATCCAGAAGCACTTAAACCCAATTCAAACTCGGAATTTCGTCCAAAACAAGAAAACAGATTTCAAAAAAATCAGTCCTCTCAAACCCAACCCGATACTATGGAAATGATGCAGCAAATGAGCCAAATGATGCAACAAACTATGAATCAAATGATGCAGCACCAGAAACAAATTATAGAGGCCCTTGGGAATAAGAGAGAAGAGGGACAGCTACCTAGTCAGCCCATAGAAAATCCAGGGAACCGCGCAACAATAGGATTTCAGCAAGGGGAGTCTAGTAGTATGAATCTAGGAAAAAACCCACGAAATGAAAATGTTAGGACAGTGAATGCATTAAGGAGTGGTAAGATCTTACCTGATCCTTATCCCCAAACATTAGAAGAAAAAGAAAACGTGGACAACCCAAAACAAAATCAAATAGGAGTAGAAGAGGATTTTATAGATTCTACCAAGGAAATTTCGAAAGAGAGGACAACCATTCCATTTCCTAAAGCTCTAGAGCCTAGACAAAGAAAGAAAAAGGAACACAATGAAGAAATAAAGAAAATTTTACAAGATGTGCAAATTAGTCTTCCTTTACTCACTGCCATTGAACATATTCCTGAATATGCTAGAGTTTTGAAAGAAATGTGTACACCAAAAAGGGCACCTAGAGTAGAAAAATTATCTATGCATGCTAGTGCATTATTATTAAATCAATTACCATATAAATTGAGAGATACAGGTGCCCCTTTAATTTCGTGTGATATTGGTGGATTCATTTTTCAGAATGCATTACTTGACACCGGTGCTAGTATTAATTTATTACCTGCAAGTATTTGCGATAAATTTAATATTTCTGATCTTAAACCTTCTACTGTTACCTTACAATTTGCTGATAGATCCATAAAACATCCTAAAGGTATTTTAGAAAATGTGATAGTGACAGTTAAAGGGTGTAAATTTCCAGCTGATTTTGTAGTGCTGGAAATGGATTTTAATGGACAGTTTTATGATACACCAATCATCCTAGGGAGACCATTTTTGCATACAGCAAAGATGAATATTGATTTTCCCACAGGTATTGCAAAAATTTCATGTGGAGATCAATCAGTAGAAATTAAAATTTTTGAGGTACCAAATGATCTTAAGAAATCACAAGTATATGATTGTCATACCATAGATCTTCTAGATGATTTTGATGATCCAGATGTTATTGATGACTGTGTGCTGGAAGAATTAGAGGAAATAGAGAATATAAATTTGGGAAAAAAGAAAGAGGAAGATCATCTGAAATTTACAGTTGAAACCTCTTCCCTCTAGTTTAAAATATATATTTTTGGAGGAAAATAATTCATTTCCTGTAATTATCGCAGCTGATTTGAGTGATGAACAAAAAGAAGAATTATTAGATGTACTTCGAAAAAATAAGAAGGCTATGGGCTGGAAAATGGACGATCCAAGGGGCATTGATATGAGTGTATGCATGCATAGTATATATCTAGAGGAGGGGGCCAGAACTAGCAGGGAACCACAACGAAGATTAAATCCTAACATGATGGAAATTGTAAAAAAAGAAATTTTAAAGTGGCTGGCTGCTGATATTATTTATCCTATTTCAGATAGCAAATGGGTTAGTCCTACACAAGTAGTGCCAAAACAATCAGGGATCACGGTTATAAAAAACGAAAATGGGGATGAAATACAAACAAGATTAACTACCGGTTGGAGGGTTTGCATTGATTATAGAAAATTAAATTCAGTTACTAGAAAAGATCATTTTCCCCTACCATTTACTGATCAAATTCTAGAAAAATTAGCTGGAAAAAACTTTTTTTGTTTTCTCGATGGATACTCTGGTTATAATCAAATTTATATAAACCCTTTAGATCAAGAAAAAACAACTTTCACTTGTCCATTTCGTACTTTTGCTTTTAAACGCATGCCTTTTGGTCTGTGTGATGCTCCAGCCACATTTCAAAGATGTATGCTGTCTATTTTTTCTGATATGATTGGAAAATGCATGGAAATTTTTATGGACGATTTTTCTGTTTTTCGTGAATCATTTGATGAATGCTTAAATCATTTACAGCATGTACTTGAGAAATGCATAGAGAAAAAATTAGTTTTGAGTTGGGAGAAATCACATTTTATGGTTAAAGAGGGAGTTGTGTTGGGTCATATTGTGAGTGAAAGGGGTTTAGAGGTGGATAGAGCAAAAATTGATATTATATCTAAAATGAAACCTCCAAATTCAGTAAAACAGATTAGATCTTTCTTGGGTCATGCAGGTTATTATAGAAAATTTATTCAAGATTTTTCGAAGATTTCAAAACCTCTCACCATGCTATTATCTAAAGATGTGCCTTTTAATTTTGATGAGAAATGTTTTGAGTCTTTTTTCGAAATAAAAAGATTACTTACTGAGGCACCCATTTTACAAGTTCCTGATTGGTCCCTTCCCTTTGAAATAATGTGTGATGCATCCAATTATGCAATGGGGGCCGTTCTAGGACAAACAAAAGAGTCAAAACCCATAGTAATTTCATATGCTAGTAAAACTATATCTGATGCTCAATTAAATTATACCACGAATGAAAAAGAGTTGTTAGTTGTAGTATTTTCGTTAGAAAGGTTTAGATCATATATTTTGGGAGCTAAAATTATTATTTATACTGATCATGCAGCATTAAAATATCTGTTAAATAAGAAAGATGCAAAGCCACGTTTATTAAGATGGATTTTATTGTTGCAGGAATTTGACTTAGAAATAAAAGATAAAAAAGGTTTCGAGAATGCTATTGCTGACCATCTTTCTAGATTAAGTGACACAGGAATAAATGCAGCACCTTTACAAGATGCATTTCCAGATGAACAATTGATGGCAGCTCAACATCAACCATCACCATGGTATGCACATATTGTAAATTTTCTGGTTTCTGGAAAAACTCCAGAACAGTGGGATAAGAACAGAAAACATCATTTCTTGTCTAAGATTAGAAATTATTTTTGGCATGATCCTGATTTATATTACTTGGGCAATGATCAAATTTTAAGGAGATGTGTTCCTGAAGAAGAATACCATAGCATTATTAACATGTGCCATTCATCTAATTGTGGAGGAGACTTCTCTGGACGAAAAACAGCTGCAAAAAATTTTCAGTGTGGTTTTTATTGGCCTACAATCATTAGAGATTCTATAGAATTTAGTAGAACATGTATTTCATGCCAATCTATAGGTAACATGAGTAAAAAAGATGAAATGCCCATGAGTAACATGTTAGTAGTCGAAATTTTTGATGTATGGGGAATAGATTTCATGGGTCCCTTCCCATCAGCTGAAAAATATGAATATATTTTGCTTGCTATTGATTATGTGTCGAAGTGGGTGGAAGCTATTCCTACTAGAACTAATGATCATAAAATCGTGATGAAATTTGTGCAGGAAAATATTTTTTCGAGATTTGGATGTCCTAGAGTGATTATTAGTGATGGAGGAACACATTTTACAAATAAAAATTTCAGAGAACTGTTGAAAAAGAATGGAGTACACCATAGAGTAGCCACTCCATATCATCCCCAAACAAATGGGCAAGCTGAAGTAGCAAATAGGGAAATTCAGAGAATTTTGAGAAAAATAGTTAGACCAGATAGGAAAGATTGGCCCACAAAATTACAAGATGCATTATGGGCTTATAGAACAGCTTATAAAAATCCCATAGGTATGTCCCCATTTCGTTTCATTTTTGGAAAGCCATGTCATCTTCCTGTGGAAATAGAGCATAAAGCATTATGGGCTATAAAAAATTTATGTATGGATGAAAAATCAGCTGGTGGGCATAGAATTTTTCAGCTACATGAACTAGAGGAGTTGAGGAATGAAGCTTATGAAAATCATAGAATATATAAAGAAAAAACTAAAACTTTTCATGATAAATATATTAGCAGAAAAAAAATTGATGTTGGACAAAAAGTGTGGTTATATGATTCTAGGCTGAAATTATTCCTAGGAAAATTAAAATCAAAATGGAAAGGGCCTTATGTGGTGGAAGAGACATATGATCATGGGGCTGTAATGATTAAAGATCCTAAAAGTGATCACAACTTTAAGGTAAATGGACAGCGGCTTAAACATTACATAGAACATGAACGCCTTGCAGAAAAAGAAATTTTATTATTAAAAGAAATTCAAGAGTAAGATCAAGGAGTCCAGCTGGAGACATTAAATTCAGCGCTGCATGGGAGGCAACCCATGGTTTTTATTTCATTCTGTTTGATGTTTTTAATTTTTTTTTAAGCTCTGTTTTTCTTAGATTTTTGCAGTACTTGTTTCTGTATTTGTTTTTTCGAAAAACTGCAGGAGGAGGAGTGTAAGATGAAGTGGAAAATTAAAAACGAGGTTGAGGTGATGTCTTTCGGAGCTTTATCATTTATGACAACATTTTTAATGCTAAACTTTGCATATATGCATGCTTCATTTGAAAATTATATTTTCTGCATATTCTGTTTCGATTTTTCTGTGTCATTGAGGACAATGTCATTTTTAAGTTGGGGGGGGAAGTATTCATTATTAATTTATGCTGTAGGACGATTAAGAACATGTGTTTGCATTTTATTCAACTTAGAACAGCAACTAAAAAAATAAAAAAAGATCGCCGAATTCGGAAAAATTGCAACATCTATTTTCTGGTTTTCTGTCAGTAACAACAGACTGTCAAAAACAGCAGACGAAAAAAACAACCCGAAATTTGAAATTATAGAGACCCTTTTCTCACATTTCAATCCCCTAGACATATATTACTGAAATTCGAAATTACAGCTATAAAGAAGATAGTTTTGATTTATTTTTGACAAATTTATTGCTGCTAAAAATAGAACTGAAAACAGAAAACAGAACTGTCAGAACTATCTAATTTATAAATTTCTTACATCATATTGCATGCATGAAAAATTAAATCAATTAGATTGATTGATACCAAAAGATACTAGGAAGATTATTATTGAGTCAAAAGAATGATCTAGTAGCATGAAATGTTGGAATACTCCTTGGATACATGATAGATAACATGGATTTGATTTTACAGATTTTCACTTCATGATCTTGATGGATAATATTTACTTGATGTGAAAATTTGATTGATCATTTGAGTTTAATGGAGATTTTTGCACCCTGATCTATAAGACTTGTGAGGAGAAATCACTTATTTCGAAAAAAAAAAAAAAAGAAAAAAAAGAGAGCAATGTGAAAAATCTAGAAACGAAGAGTACACATGGAGGGTGTGAGACATCATTCTCATTGTCAAAAATTGTGCATAGAAAAACACTTGCTGAAAAATGAGTGGATAAAGTGAAAGCCCTGAAAATGAAGAGTATACATGGAGGGTGTGAGACATCATTCTTATTGTCGAAATTTATCTATAGGAAAAGCTACTTATCCACTATATATAAAGAAAGAAGAAATATAGTGCAAACTTCAAAAATCAAGCCATAGAAAAAGGGAAATGTAGGATCAATATTATTCTTAGATGAGTATTGATAATTGGAACATCTTGTAAATACATCTATGAGTGAAGAAGTGATAAAGATGTGAATAGAAGAAGTGAAGTCTAGATTGTTATTCCAAGGAGTGTTTAAACATTTAAGTGCTTGACATCATTCTTAAATACTTGATATAAGAATCCAAAGTGTCTAAAGGTGCATCATTTCTAATTGTATTTTTTTCTTTCTGTATTGAAATATGATGTTTGAGATTTGTAAATTTTTATTTTCGTAATTCCATTGCTAAGGGACTAGCAATGATTTAAGTTGGGGGGTGTGATAAGTCTTCATTATCATGAGTTAATAATTAGTAAATAATATAGTTTTAGCCTTAACTCGTGATAAATAGACTTATAATTATGTTAAAGTGTGAAAAGTGGTTTTCAGTTGATTAATGTGATTTTTTGGGTAATTATGTGATTTTATACAAATTTATCTGATTTTTACAGTCTTACTTTTGAGATAAATGAGGAAAAAGAAATAAAAATATTGCAAAATGGGGGGACCCGCCGGCCAGCCGGGCCCGCAAGCGGGTCGGAAGCGCAGTCGGGAGTAGCCGCGAGCAGGGGCTCGAGCGGCTTAAGCTTGGACCGATAGGGGCACGTGTGCGCCACTCCCCTTCCACGTCACCGGTGGCCAGCCGGCTGTGAAGCAAAGAGTGGTCGTACACGCGAGAGAAGGGACTTTGCCTAAAAAGCTAACATTACTATATATTCGCCTGAAAAATCGGCGCACAACCGATGTGGGACTAAACCCGCGTCACACCTTCCTCAGAAGGGGGGGCGGACAATCGGCACGGGTTCGAATCCTCCCAGAGTCAAAATTCATATATTTTTATCTGATTATCGTGACTTTCCTGCAGATCGCCGGTGAAAGATTAAGCAACCAGAATCGCTGGATCATCGGCGAAAATCTCGTCAACGTCATTCGCGGAGCATTGCTACTAAAATTGCTGAATGATTCGTGATAAAAGGATCACAAATCTATCAAGTAAATCATCTCCGATTGATCGACGAACAAGCTGTTGTAAGGAAGAGGACAATCCGTTGGGAGACGAGTCGCCACCTCCTGAGAGCATACTAGATGCGATGAAGAGCCTCCTCTTGTTGCGTGGACTTGAGGATGAAGCTCCCTGACACGTGCCCCACCTCCATCCAGCTCCTCTCCATTAGGTGACAACTGCCAGAGAGCCGGAAAGTCGCTGTTTTTCCGCTCCGCCGGGTGACAGCCGCCAGAGATGACTCGACGACCCATTTCATTAATCTCTAGACTTTGCGAGAAGATCTAGAGATTGCCCATGTCATCTTTGTCCAAGGAGAGCCTTTGAGGCCGTGGACACTGCACGACGATCCTCCCGAACGCTCAAGATTCCGATGCATCGCCGACTCATCGCCGTCACGACACTGAAACTCTATTTTCCTGCTTTCAACTTAATTTTCATTTCATTTAGTGATAATTTGTTGATTTTAAATTTACCAACATATACTTCATTTCATTACGATTCTTCCGTCTTTTATAGATCTTAATTTGATCAATTAAATTATGTGTAATCGCTTACGTAAGAATCGCCGGACGTAACTATGTTTCCGCCCGATTCGCGTTCGCTGGGCGCTGACGTCATCTTGACACCCGCACCCTTATTTCCTTTTTTCGTGAATTTTAAATATATTTCCTTTTCATTTCTTAGTATAAAATTCATAGAAAATAGTATTCTTTGAGAAAAATTCTGAATAATTACTAGATATTATATTACATCCCTGTGATCGACCTGGAAAATTACTGCTATTTTTGAAAAGTTTTATTGAATTATAATTGATATATTTGTTCAGAAATCCGTCTAAATATCAAAAAATTCGTATTTTCTAGTTTTATAAATTTTATATTTGTGTGATTTAATATACAACGACTAAGTCACGTCAGCTCCCTTGCTCTCGCTCGCTCGCGAGCAGTTAGGAGGAGCTGCGAGTAGGGGCTCGAGCGACTTGAACTGATGGAGGCACGTGTGCGCCACTCCCCTTCCACGTCACCGGTGGCCAGCTGGCTATGGGGCAAAGAGTGGTCGTACACGTGCAAGAAAGGGACTTGATTGCAAATATAATATTACTATATATTCACCAGAAACTTTGGCGCACAAGCGATGTCGAACTAAACTCACATCACACCTTCCATAGAACGGGCGGGCAACTAGTGCAGGTTCGAATCTTCCATGGGCCAAAACTCATATTTTTTATCTGATTATCGCGACTTTTCTACACAACGTCGGTGAAGGATTAAGCTACTAGAATTGCTAGATCATCGACAAAAACCTCGTCAACACAATTCGCGGAGCATTGTTACTAAAATTGTTGAGCGATTCATGATAAAAGGATCGCAAATTCATTGAGTAAAGCATCTCCAATTGATCGACGAACAAGCCATCATCAGAAAGAGGACGATCCACTAGGAGATGAGTCGCCACCTCCTGAGAGTGTACTGGATGCAATGAAGAGCCTCCTCTTGCTACGCGGACTTGAGGATGAAGCTCCTTGACACATGCCCCACCTCCATCCAACTCTTCTCCCTCGAGTGACAGCAGCCGAGGAGCTGCAAAGTCATCATTTTTCTACTCCGTCAAGTGACAACCACCAGAGAGATTCGATGACCCATTTAATTGATCTCTAGACTTCGCAAGGAGATCTAGAGATTGTCCATGTCGTCCTTGTCCAAGGAGAGTCTTCAAGGCCTTGGACACTACACGACGATCCTCCCAAACGCTCAGGATTCTGGTGCATCGCTGACGTATTGCCGCCCAATGCCGGAACTCTATTTTCCTACTTTCAACTTAATTTCTGCTTCATTAGTGATAATTTGTGTCATTTAAATTTATGCTTCATTCAATTATCATTCTTCCGACTTTTACAGATTTTAATTTGATCAATTAAATCATATGTAATCGCTTATGTAAGAATCACTGGGCGGAACTATGTTTCTACCCGATTCGCATTCGCCGGGCATTGACACCATCTTGACATCCGTACCCTTATTTCCCTTTTTTTGTGAATTTTAAATATATTTAATTTCATTTCCTAGTATAAAATTCATAGAAAATTGTATTCTTTGAAGAAAATTCTGAATAATTACTTGATATTATATTACATCCCTGTGATTGATCTGGAAAACTACCACTATTTTTCGAAGTTTTATTAAATTATAATTGATATATTTGTTCAGAAATACTTCTAAATATCTAAAAATTTGTATTTTCTAGTTTTATAAATTTTAACTTTACGTGATTTACTATACAACGACTAAGTCACATCAAATCTTGGCACCGTTGCTGGGGATGTATTACATAATATTTAGTATTTTTCTATTTTTCTCTTAGAGTATACAAAAAAACTAACTTTTATTTTATTTTCTTCTTGCCGATATTTTTTTTTAAAAAAAGAAGGAAACGAAGAGAAACAAGGCAAGGACTGAAGCATACTGAAGGAGGGTAGAAATTACTAAACTTTTCCCCTCAAGTTTATTTATTTTTTATGCATGGTAGAAGATCCTTGCATCCAAGGCTAGAAAATCCTTTCATTCTTTCAGTCAAAACTAAAAATCCGAAAGAAATATTAATTTTGATGGATTTTGAAGGAAGTACAAGTCAAACTGAAAACAATCCTATGGCCATGAAAAATCATTATATCCCTTATTCATTTCAAAGAGCATCAAAATATTAGAGTCCCATTAGCACCCACTATTCAATTCAAAAGAAATCCAGGAATTTTTCAAATGCTCCTTAATTTTCATGGATTGCCTTTAAGGGAACCTCATCAACACTTAGAAAATTTTCATATGGTATGTGATTTAGTTAATCTCCCTCAAGTTACACCGGAAATTATTAAGATGAAATTATTTCTTCATACACTTAGGGACAAAGCTAGTCATTGACTATCCACATTAGATAGAGAATTAACTAGCTGGAAGGACATAGAACAGGCTTTTCTTCGAAAATTTTATCTCTTAGGTAAAACTCAAAATATGAGAAAACATATATAGAGTTTTTCTCAAAGACCAAGAGAAACTTTACATGAGACATGGGAAACATTCAATGATTTACTTAGAAAATGTCCTCATCATGCTATACCCAAGTGGCAGTTCAATAGAATTTTTTATGATAGATTATTAGAACAATATAGAAATATGGTTGATTCTATATGTGGAGGAAATTTTATGGAGAAAACCCCTGATGAGATTTATAGTCTTTATGAAAATTTAAGTGAAAATTTTAAAGATCAAGCCTCTTTTGAATTATATGACAAAGATAAGAAGAGAGGAATTTATGAATTACATCATGATGATGATTCTAAATTAAGAAATGAGGTTAATTAGATTAATAAAAGATTAGAAAATTTTAATTTACTTATTGACAATATTAGAAAGCCTCTTAGCCCTCAATTTAATTCAAATAATACGTCCTATGTATGCTAACAATGATTATTTTGAATTTCAATGTTGTAGTTTAGATCAATCATTTCACCATATGCAAGAACAAGTACAAGTAGATCATGGTCTTATAATCCTAATTGGAAGAATAATTTTTCATGGAAAGTCCCAAATAATATTCAAAATTCAGAAGCACTTAGACTCAATTCAAACTCGTAATGTTGTCCAAAACAAGAAAACAGATTTCAGAAAAATTAGTCCTCTCAAACCCAACCTGATACTATGGAAATGATGCAGCAAATAAGCCAAATGATGCGACAAACTATGAATCAAATGATGCTACAGCAGAAACAAATTATAGAGGCTCTTGGGAATAAGAGAGAAAGGGAGAACTACCTAGTCAGCCCATAGAAAACCAAGGAACTGCCCAGCAATAGGATTTCAGCAAGGGGAGTCTAGTAGCATGAATCTAGGAAAAAACCCACGAAATGAAAATGTTAGGACAGTGAATGCATTAAGGAGTGGTAAGATCTTACCTGATTCTTATCCCCAAACATTAGAAGAAAAAGAAAACGTGGACAGCCCAAAACAAAATCAAATAGGAGTAGAAGAGGATTTTATACATTCTACAAAGGAAATTTTGAAAGAGAGGACAACCATTCCATTTCCTAAAGCTCTAGAGCCTAGACAAAGAAAGAAAAAGGAACACAATGAAAAATAAGGAAAATTTTACAAGATGTGTAAATTAGTCTTCCTTTACTCACTGCCATTGAACATATTCCTGAATATGCTAGAGTTTTGAAAGAAATGTGTACACCAAAAAGGGCACCTAGAGTAGAAAAATTATCTATGTATGATAGTGCTTTATTATTAAATCAATTACCATATAAATTGAGAGATATGGGTGCCCCTTTAATTTCGTGTGATATTGGTGGATCCATTTTTCAGAATACATTACTTGACACTAGTACTTCTATTAATTTATTACTTGTAAGTATTTGTGATAAATTTAATATTGCTGATCTTAAACCTTCTACTACTACCTTACAATTTACTGATAGATTCATAAAACATCTTTAAAGTATTTTAAAAAATGTGATAGTGACAGTTAAAGGGTGTAAATTTTCAATTGATTTTGTAGTGCTAGAAATAGATTTTAATGGACAGTTTTATAATACACCAATCATCTTAGGGAGACTATTTTTACATACAACAAAGATGAATATTGATTTTCCCACAAGTATTGTGAATATTTCATGTGGAGATCAATTAGTAGAAATTAAAATTTTTGAGGTATCAAATGATCTTAAGAAATCCCAAGTATATTATTGTCATACCATAGATCTTCTAGATGATTTTGATGATCCAAATTTTATTGATGATTGTGTGCTAGAAGAATTAGAGAAATAGAGAATATAAATTTGGGAGAAAAGAAAGAGGAAGATCATCTGAATTTAGAGTTGAAACCTCTTTCCTCTAGTTTAAAATATATATTTTTGGAGGAAAATAATTCATTTCCTATTATTATTGCAGCTGATTTGAGTGATGAACAGGAAGAAAAATTATTAGATATACTTTGAAAAAATAAGAAGGCTATGGGCTGGAAAATGGATGATCTAAGGGGCATTTATATGAGTGTATGCATACATAGTATATATCTGAAGGAGGGGGCTAGAACTAGCAGGGAACCACAACGAAGATTAAATCCTAACATGATGAAAATTGTAAAAAAAAAAAATATTTAAGTGTCTGGCAACTGATATTATTTATCCTATTTCAGATAGCAAATGGGTTAGTCCTTCACAAGTGGTGCCAAAAAAATTAGGGATCATTGTTATAAAAGATGAAAATGGGGATGAAATACAAACAAGATTAACTACCGGTTGGAGGGTTCGTGTTGATTATATAAAATTAAATTAAGTTACTAGAAAATATCATTTTCTTCTATCATTTACTCATCAAATTCTAGAAAAATTAGTTGGAAAAAACTTTTTTTTTCTAGATGGAAACTCTAGTTATAATCACATTTATATAAACCCTTTAGATCAAGAAAAATAACTTTCACTTGTCCATTTCGTACTTTTGCTTTTAAATGCATGCCTTTTGGTCTGTGTAATGCTCTAGCTACATTTCAAATATGTATGCTGTCTATTTTTTCTGATGTGACTAGAAAATGCATGGAAATTTTTATGGACGATTTTTCTATTTTTGGTGAATCATCTGATGAATGCTTAAATCATTTACAACATGTACTTGAGAAATGTATAGAGAAAAAATTAGTTTTGAGTTAGGAGAAATCACATTTTATGGTTGGAGAGGGAGTTGTGTTGGGTCATATTGTGAGTGAAAGGGGTTTAGAGGTGGATAGAGCAAAAATTGATATTATATCTAAAATGAAACCTCCAAATTTAGTAAAACAGATTAGATCTTTCTTAGGTCATGCAGGTTATTATAGAAAATTTATTCAAGATTTTTTGAAAATTTCTAAACCTCTTACCATGTTATTATCTAAAGATGTGCCTTTTAATTTTGATGATAAATGTTTTGAGTCTTTTCTGAAATAAAAAGATTACTTACTGAGGCACTCATTTTACAAGCTCCTGATTAGTCCTTTCCTTTTGAAATAATGTGTGATGTATCGAATTATGCAGTGGGGGCCATTCTATGACAAACAAAAGAGTCAAAACCTATAGTAATTTCATATGCTAATAAAACTATATCTGATGCTCAATTAAATTATACCACGACTGAAAAAAAGTTATTAGCTATAGTATTTTTGTTAGAAAGGTATAGATCATATATTTTGGGAGCTAAAATTATTATTTATACTGATCATGCAATATTAAAATATTTGTTAAATAAGAAAGATGCAAAGTCACGTTTATTAAGATGAATTTTATTGTTGTAGGAATTTGACTTAGAAATAAAAGATAAAAAAAGTTTTGAGAATGTTGTTGCTGACCATCTTTCTAGATTAAGTGATACAGGAATAAATGCAGCACTTTTACAAGACGCATTTCTAGATGAACAATTGATGGCAGCTCAACATCAACCATCACCATGGTATGCACATATTGTTAACTTTCTGGTTTCTGGAAAAATTTCAGAGTAGTGGGATAAGAACAGAAAACATCATTTCTTTTCTAAGATTATAAATTATTTTTGGCATGATCTTGATTTATATTACTTAGGCAATGATCAAATTTTAGGGTGATGTGTTCCTAAAGAAGAATATCATAGCATTATTAACATGTGCTGTTCATCAAACTATGGAGGACATTTCTCTTGAGAAAAAACAGCTGCAAAAAATTTTCAGTGTGGTTTTTATTGGCCTACAATTATTAGAGATTCTATAGAATTTAGTAGAACATGTATTTCATGCCAATCTATAGGTAACATGAGTAAAAAAGATTAAATGCCCATGAGTAACATGTTAGTAGTCGAAATTTTTGATGTATGGGGAATAGATTTCATGGGTCACTTCCCATCAGCTGAAAAATATGAATATATTTTGCTTGCTATTGATTATGTGTCGAAGTGGGTGGAAGTTATTCCTACTAGAACTAATGATCATAAAATCGTGATGAAATTTGTGCAGGAAAATATTTTTTCGAGATTTGGATGTCCTAGAGTGATTATTAATGATGAAGGAACATATTTTACAAATAAACATTTTAAGGAACTATTGAAAAAGAATGGAGTACACCATAGAGTAGCCACTCCATATCATCCCCAAACAAATGGGTAAGCTGAAGTAGCAAATAGGGAAATTCAAATAATTTTGAGAAAAATAGTTAGACCAGATAGGAAAGATTGGCCCACAAAATTACAAGATGCATTATGAGCTCATAGAATAGCTTATAAAAATCCCATGGGTATGTCCCCATTTTGTCTCATTTTTGGAAAGCCATCTCATCTTCTTGTGGAAATAGAGCATAAAGCATAATGGGCATTAAAAAATTGATGTATGGACGAAAAATCAGCTGGTGGGCATAGAATTTTTTAGCTACATGAACTAGAGGAGTTGAGGAATGAAGCTTCTGAAAATCATAGAATATATAAAGAAAAAACTAAAACTTTTCATGATAAATATGTTAGCAGAAAAAAAATTGATGTTGGACAAAAAGTGTGGTTATATGATTCTAGGCTGAAATTATTCCCAAGAAAATTAAAATCAAAATGGACAGGGCCTTATGTGGTGGAAGAGACATATGATCATGGGGCTATAATGATTAAAGATCTTAAAAGTGACCATAACTTTAAGGTAAATGGACAACGACTTAAACATTACATAGAACATGAATGTCTTGTAGAAAAAGAAATTTTATTATAAAAAAAAATTCAAGAGTAAGATCAAGGTGTCTAGTTGGAGACATTAAATTCAGCGCTGCATGGGAGGCAACTCATGGTTTTTATTTCATTCTATTTGAATTTTTTAAGCTCTGGTTTTCTTAGAATTTCATAGTACTTGTTTTTGTATTTGTTTTTTTGGAAAAAGTGCAGGAGTGTAAGATGAAGTGGAAAATTAAAAACGAGGTTGAGGTGATGTCTTTCTGAGCTTTATCATTTATGACAATATTTTTAATGATTAACTTTGTATATATATATGCTTCACTTGAAAATTATATTTTCTGCATATTTTGTTCTTATTTTTCTATGTCATTGAGAACAATGTCATTTTTAAGTTAGGGGTTGAAGTATTAATTATTAATTTATGCTGTAAGATGATTAAGAACATGTGTTTACATTTTATTTTTATTTTTTCATGCTCACTTAGAACAGGAACCAAAAAAATAAAATAAAATTCAGAAAAACTATAACATCTATTTTCTGGTTTTCTGTCAAGAACAACAAACTGTCAAAAATAAGAAACAAAAAACAGTCCAAAATTTGAAATTCTAGAGACCCTTTTCTCACATTTCAATCCCCTAGACATATATTACTGAAATTCCAAAATTATAGCTATAAAGAGAATAGTTTTGATTTATTTTTGACAAATTTATTGTTGCTAAAAATAGAATTGAAAAGAGAAAATATAACTATTAGAACTATCTAATTTACAAATTTCTTACATCATATTACATGCATGAAAAATTAAATCAATTAGATTGATTGATACCAAAAGATACAAGGAAGATTATTATTGAGTCAAAAGAATGATCTAGTAGCATGAAATGTTGGAATACTCCTTGGATACATGATAGATAACATGAATTTGATTTTACAGATTTTCACTTCATGATCCTGATAGATAATATTTACTTGATGTGAAAATTTGATTGATCATTTGAGTTTAATAAAGATTTTTGCACCCTAATCTATAGGACTTGTGAGGAGAAATCACTTATTTCAGAAAAAAAAGACAAAGAGTAATGTGAAAAATCTAGAAACGAAGAGTACACATGGAGGGTGTGAGACATCATTCTCATTGTCGAAAATCGTGCATAGAAAAACACTTGCTGCAAAATAAGTGGATAAAGTGAAAGCCCTGAAAATTAAGAGTACACATGGAGGGTGTGAGATATCATTCTTATTGTCGAAATTTGTCTACAGGAAAAGCTACTTATCCACTATATATATATAAAAAAAAAGAAGGAAGAAATATAATGCAAACTTTAAAAATCAATCCATGAAAAAAAGGAAATGTAGGATCAATATTATTCTTGGATGAGTATTGATAATTGGAACATCTTCTAAATATATCTATGAGTGAAAAAGTAATAAAGATGTGAACAGAAGAAGTGAAGTCTAAATTGTTATTTCAAGGAGTGCATAAACATTTAAGTGCTTGACATCATTCTTAAATACTTGATATAAGAGTCCAAAGTGTCTAAAGGTGCATCATTTCTAATTGTATTTTTTTTTTATGTATTTAAATATGATTTTTGAGATTCGTAAATTTTTATTTTCGTAATTACAATGCTAAGGGACTAGCAATGATTTAAGTTGGGGGGTGTGATAAGTTTTCATTATCATGAGTTAATGATTAGTAAATAATATAGTTTTAGCCTTAACTCATGATAAATAGACTTATATTTGTGTTAAAGTGTGAAAAGTGGTTTTCAGTTGATTAACGTAAATTGTTGGGTAATTATGTAATTTTATAAGAATTTATATGATTTTTATAGTTTTACTTTTGAGATAAATTATGAAAAAGAAATAAAAATAAAAATAAGACAAAATAGGGGGAACCCGCCAGCCAGCCGAGCCCACAAGCAGGTCAGAAGCACAATGGGGGAGGAGCCGCGAGTAGGGGCTCGAGCGGCTAAGAACGATAGGGGCTTTTGTGCGCCACTCCTCTTCCACGTCATTGGTGGCCAGCCAGCTGTGGGGCAAGGAGTGGTCATACACACGCGAGAAAGGGACTTTATTGAAAATATATTATTACTATATATTCGCTAGAAACTTTGACGCATAAACGATGTGGGACTAAACTCGCGTCACACCTTCCCCAGAAAGGGCGGGCAACCGGCAATGGTTCGAATCCTCCCAGAGCTAAAAGTCATATTTTTTATCTAATTATCGTGACTTTCTTGTAGATCGTCGGTGAAGGATTAAGCCACGAGAATTGCAGGATCATCAGCAAAAATCTCATTAATGCGATTCGCGGAGCATTGTTACTTAAATTGTTGAACAATTCATGATAAAAGGATCGCGAATCCATCGAGTAAAGCATCTCCGATTGATCGATGAACAAGTCGTCGTCGGGAAGAGGACGATCCGTCGAGAGACGAGTTGCCACCTTTTGAGAGCATACCGAATGCAATGAAGAGCCTCCTTTTGTTGTGTGAACCTAATGATGAAGCTCCTTGACACGCGCCTCACCTCCATCTAGCACCTCTTCGTCAGGTCACGGCTGCCGGAGAGCCACAAAGTCGTTGTTTTTTCTCTTTGTCAGGTGACAACCGCCGAAGATGATTTATTGACCCATTTCATTGATCTCTAGACTTCGCAAGGAGAGCTAGAGATTGTTCACGTCGTCCTTGTCCAAGAAGAGCCTTTGAGGCTGTGGACATTGCACGATGATTGATAAGTCTTCATTATCATGAGTTAATAATTAGTAAATAATATAGTTTTAGCCTTAACTCATGATAAATAGACTTATATTTGTGTTAAAGTGTGAAAAGTGGTTTTCAGTTGATTAATGTTAATTTTTAGGTAATTATGTGATTTTACATGAATTTATATGATTTTTACAGTCTTGCTTTTGAGATAAATGAAGAAAAATAAATAAAAATAAGACAAAATAAGTGGGGGACCCGCCGGCCAGCCGGGCCCGCAAGCGGGTCGGAAGCTTAGTCGAGGAGTAGCCGCGAGCAGGGGCTCGAGCAGCTTGGACCAATAGGGACAACGTGTGCGCCACTCCCCTTCCACGTCACCGGTGACCAGCCGATTGTGGGGCAAGGAGTGGTCGTACACGCGAGAGAAGGAACTTTGCTTAGAAAGCTAACATTACTATATATTCGCCCGAAAAATCGGAGCACAACCGATGTGGGACTAAACCCACGTCACACCTTCCTCAGAAGGGGCGGACAACCGACGCAGGTTCGAATCCTCCCAGAGTCAAAATTCATATATTTTTATCTGATTATCGCGACTTTCCTACAGATTGCCAGTGAAGGATTAAGCAACAAGAATCGCTAGATCATCGGCGAAAATCTTGTCAACGTGATTCGCAGAGCATTGCTACTAAAATTGTTGAACGATTCGTGATAAAAGGATCACGAATCCATCGAGTAAATCATCTCCAATTGATCGACGAATAAGCCGTTGTCGGGAAGAGGACGATCCGCCGGGAGACGAGTCGCCACCACTTCAGAGCATACCAGATGCGATGAAGAGCCTCCTCTTGCTGTGCGGACCTGAGGATGAAGCTCCCTGACATGCACCCCACCTCCATCCAGCTCCTCTCCATCAGGTGACAACTGCCGAAGAGCCGCAAAGTCGCTGTTATTCCGCTCCGCCGGGTGACAGCCACCGAAGACGATTCGACGACCCATTTCATTAATCTCTAGACTTTGCGAGAAGATCTAGAGATTGCCCATGTCATCTTTGTCCAAGGAGAGCCTTTGAGGCCGTGGACACTACACGACGATCCTCCCGAACGCTCAGGATTCCAGTGCATCGCCGACGCATCGCCGTCGCGACGCCGGAACTCTATTTTCCTACTTTCAACTTAATTTTCATTTCATTTAGTGATAATTTGTTGATTTTAAATTTACCAACATATACTTCATTTCATTACGATTCTTCCGTCTTTTACTGATCTTAATTTGATCAATTAAATCGTTTGTAATCGCTTATGTAAGAATCACCAGGCGGAACTCTGTTTCCGCCCAATTCGCGTTCGCCGAGCACTAACATCATCCTGACGCCCGCACCCTTATTTCCTTTCTTCGTGAATTTTAAATATATTTCCTTTTCATTTCTTAGTATAAAATTTATATAAAATATTATTCTTTGAGGAAAATTCTGAATAATTACCAGATATTATATTACATCCCTGTGATCGACCTGGAAAATTACTACTATTTTTGTAACTTATATTGAATTATAATTGATATATTTGTTCAGAAATACTTCTAAATATCCGAAAATTCGTATTTTCTAGTTTTATAAATTTTATATTTGCGTGATTTAATATACAACGACTAAGTCACGTCAAGAATCTATAAAATCCTCTTCTACTCCTATTTGATTTTGTTTTGGGCTGTCCACGTTTTTCTTTTCTTCTAATGTTTTGGGATAAGGATCAGGTAAGATCTTACCACTCAATGCATTCACTGTCCTAACATTTTCATTTTGTGGGTTTTTTCCTAGATTCATGCTACTAGACTCCCCTTGCTGAAATCCTATTGTTAGGCGGTTCCTTGGATTTTCTATGGGCTGACTAGGTAGTTGTCCCTTTTCTCTCTTATTCCCAAGAGCCTCTATAATTTATTTCTACTGCAGCATCATTTTATTCATAGTTTGTAGCATCATTTGGCTTATTTGCTACATCATTTCCATAGTATCAGGTTGGGTTTGAGAGGGCTGATTTTTCTAAAATCTATTTTCTTATTTTGGACGAAATTCAGAGTTTGAATTGAGTCTAAGTGTTTCTGGATTTTGAATATTATTTGGGTCTTTCCATGAAAAATTATTCCTCCAATTATAATTATAAGAATTTAAAAAAAGGCTCCCTATTTCTATTAAAACTGTGAGCTACTTGCACTTGTTCTTACATAGGATGAAATGATAGATCTCAATTATAGCATTGAAATTCAGAATAATTATTTTTACCATACATAGGACATGTACTATTTGAATTAAATTGAAGGTTAAGAAGAGGCT